CAGCATGCATCAGAATCACTTGGAGGTCTCAAAAAAAAAAAAAAAAAAAAAAAAGGAAAAATGTTCTAGAACTAGTGAGTGGTGATGGTTGCACAACACTGTAAATGCGTAGAATGCCTCTAAACTGCTGAAGTGTATACTTTGAAATGCTGTATTTTACCACAAACTTTTTTTTTTTAAAGCAATAAGAGGAAAAGAATGGAGCAGAGGGAGACAGATGTCCCCTCCTAGAGGATTCTGGGTAGGGGTTGAACTGCCCCAGCTCCTCCCGAGCCCCTTTCCAAACTGTCTCTACCTCCCCCAGGCCTGGCTGGACACCCAGGACCGGTGCTTGGGCCACTATGTGAATGGGAAGTGGTTAAAGCCTGAACACAGGAATTCAGTGCCTTGCCAGGATCCCATCACAGGTACGAAATGTCCCCCAGTCATTAGTGGAAGAGAAGTATCTGTGCCCTCTAGCCCTACCCACCAACACCCATTCCTCTTGCCTAGGGCCCTGAGGGCAGGAAGCAGCTGGTGGTGAGAGAGGGACTGCAATGTCTGGTTCCTTCTGAAACCAGTCACCCTAATTATGGTTCCGGGTCTCTGTGGAGGCTTTGTGAAACTGCTGTCTGTGAAAATCCCTTCCTTGCGCTGGAGGTGATCGTAGCCGTGACCCAGCAGAGAATGGGGACCAGCTTTACACCCTTGGGCTGATCCAGGCTCCGAAAATCTCAGCCCCCTCCAGACCTGACATGGGCTCCCCGCCATCTCTCCTCCCATCTGAGTCCCTCCACTTTTCTCCCCAGGAGAGAACTTGGCCAGTTGCCTGCAGGCACAGGCCGAGGATGTGGCCGCAGCCGTGGAGGCAGCCAGGACGGCATTTAAGAGCTGGAATGCCCACCCTGGCGTCGTCCGGGCCCAGCACCTGGTCAGGTGATGCAGCTGAGGTGTGGACCCTGGGAGGCGGGGACCCCCAGCATCCACTTGAGACCATGGGAACAAAGGCTATTTCCCAAGATCCCACTGAATTAATTTGCAGCTAAGGCTTGGATTCCCAGTATGTGCTGGGGGCAGTAGTGGTCGAAACATGCATCCGTTGTCCACTATTCACTGGGACTAGAAGCCGCGAAGCCTGTACTTCACAGGACATTCTTGAAGCGCATTGGGGCTCCATTTCTCAGCAGTTCACTAGAGCTGGTGAAGCCCCTAAATCCATTTCCTAGCTGCTTTGGGGGCAGCTAGAGACAAAGATTCCATTTCCCAAAATGCAATTGGGGTTAGAAGCTAAGACTCAATTTCCCAGAAGCTTCAGGGATTTCCAGCGGCCAAGACCTTTACACAGCATCCTCAGGTTTGTGTTTCCAGGGCTACAATTCCCACAGATCTTCACTGCCCTTTGCCCCAGGTAAATGGTGGGGATGCCTCGGACTCATGGGGATTGTAGTCCAGGTATATAGGAGCAGCCCAGGACTCTGTGAGGCTGAGGCCTGTTGGAAAATGAGCACCCTCTTGCTTTCTCCACAGGCTGGCCAAGGTGATCCAGAAGCACCAGCGACTGCTGTGGACCCTGGAATCCCTGGTGACTGGGCGGGCTGTTCGAGAGGTTCGAGACGGGGACGTCCAGCTGGCCCAGCAGCTTCTCCACTACCATGCAATCCAGGCATCCACCCAGGAGGAGGCACTGGCAGGCTGGGAGCCCATGGGTGAGACCCTGGAGTCCCTAGCCCTCTCCTCTCACATGACCCAGCAGTGCCAGCTCCAATCCCCTCATTCTTTTTCTTTTAGACAGAGTTTCGCTCTTGTCACCCAGGCCGGAGTACAGTGGCGCAATCTCGGCTCACTGTAACCTCCGCCTCCTGGGTTCAAGTGATTCTCCTGCCTCAGCCTCCTGAGTAGCTGGGATTACAGGCGCTCACCACCACACCCAGCTAATTTTTGTGTTTTAATAGAGAAGGGGGTCTCACCATGTTGGTCAGGCTGCTCTCCAACTCCTGACCTCAGATGATTCACGCACCTCGGTGTCCCAAAGTGCCTGGGATTATAGGCATGAGCCACCACGTCCAGTCCCCTCATTCTTTTTCTTTTTCCGACAGGGTCTTTGTCTGTCACCCTGGCTGGAGTAGAGTGGTGCAATTATAGCTCACTATAATTGTGAGCCTTGACCTCCTGGGCTCAAAATCCTCTCACCTCAGCCTCCTAAGTAACTGGGACTACAACCATGCACCACCACGCCTGACTGGTTTTTTTTTTTTTTTTTTTTTTTTTTTTTCTCTCGCCTCATTTTCTTCTTGCAGGAGTAATTGGCCTCATCCTGCCACCCACATTCTCCTTCCTTGAGATGATGTGGAGGATTTGCCCTGCCCTGGCTGTGGGTAATGATGGCCTGGGGGGTCCTGACTCTTGGGTCTGAGAAAGGCGGGGATTGTCAGGCCCAAACTCGAGTCTGAGAGACAAGGGGGCTGGAGGCCTGGACTCC